AACCACAAGGAGCAGAGGAGCGGCTGTGGCTGGGCAGGAACGCTGCTTCCCAACCCGCTCCCGTGGCCGCTCTTGAGTTTTTGGGTCTATTTTTGGGCACGCTATTTGCAAAAAAAGGCTTCCCCTGTAATTACCGCTTGCTTGAACGCACTGTCTGAGCTGTTATTTACAGCTTTCAGCCCTACAGAGCCGCTTCTCCAGCCGGCCTCAGAGCACACCAGAGCCACCGGGACAGCAGCAGCAGTCGCCGCCGTCTCCTCTTCCTCGCTGGAAAGATGTCCCTCTCGCACACGGCCGCCGAGTACATGCTCTCCGACGCTCTCCTCCCTGATCCCGGTGGTTCCCGGGCCAAGGGCTTACGCTTGGAGCTGCCAAGCGATCGCCTGCTGAAGTTCATCACCGTGGGCTTGCCCCTTTGCCTCGTCTCACTGGCGTTCGCCCGGGAGTTCTCCACCGGTGAGCGGTGGCTGTTGCCACAGGGATCCTCAGGGTCGTGGGCATTCGCACCGGCTCGGTCGCAATCCGAGGCGGGGCAGCCTGGAAACGCTGGGTTAGGAGCTGTTACTTCTCGGGGAATGTTTATTATTGGATTTTTAATGGGTTTTAATGGGTTATCGGTCACTGGGAGGGCCCGGGAATGGCTGCACAGGCAAAGCGCTGCCTCAGCTGCTTGCCCCCAGCACCTTTGGGCGCTGCGGGGTTGTTTCCGAGAAGGAGGAGGCTTGCGAGGGCGGCACAGAGGTTGCATTGATGCTGTGGTGACCTCAGGCTAAATCCGGCCTCGGCCGATGCTGCCGCCCCTGGGGATTTGGTTTGACTCCGGTTTCTGGTCTCTAATTCCCCCTGGCCACGCTCAGAGGGTTTGTGTTCGGGAAGTGATGGAAAAGTCCTTGCTGGAAAGCGCAGCGGTGGAAAAGGACAGCCACAAAATGATGCTAGAAAGGCTTTTTTTAGTCCAAAGCGATGCCTCAGATGCCTCAGGCTCCTGTAACCCATTGGCACCCGGCTGAGGAGCGCTGGCCCGCACTGGCCGACTCCCTGCAGCTGAGGTTGCCCCTTCTCGTGGCCCAGGCTCGCAGATCAGCTGCTTCTCTCCCACCAACTTCACGGGGAAGCAGTCCGCCTACGTCGACACGGCCTGCTGGGACTCCCTGCTCCCCCACAGCCTCGACGCCGAGGGCCACGCCGTCACCAAGTCCCTGTGGGCCCTCAAGGTAGGGCTCAAGTTCACGTCTGGGTGCCCGCAGGTCCTGCCTGGGTGCGTAACCAAGGCGAAGCGACCCTGCGCCCTTCGTCTCCCTTTCCCCAGGTGTTCCCCTACTCGCTGCTGGTGGTGGCGGTGCTCATGTACCTGCCCTACCTGCTGTGGCGTTACGCCGCCGCCCCCGCCCTCCACTCCGACCTCCTCTTCATCATCGACGAGCTGGACAAATCCTACAACCGCTCCGTCCGCCTGGTGCAGCACATGAGGAAGGGGCAGCAGGCCAGCGCCGAGCCGGAGCGATTCTGGGAGGAATACGAGAGGTGAGGCCTCTGGGCAGTCCCTCCCATTCCCATGGCCGCCTCCAGGATGGGCTTGGGTGAAGTGATGCGGTTTGGGGATGGCTGTGAGTCCCCGCTGTGTCCCCTCTGTCCCCAGGGCCCGTCGGGAGAGGTATTTTGAGTTCCCGCTGCTGGAGCGCTACCTGAGCTGCAAGCAGCACGCCCACGCCCTGGCCTTCATCTACCTCCTGAGGAACCTGCTCCTGCTCCTGTTCCTGGCCGCCACCTGCCTCTACCTCGTCTTCCTCCACCTCAACATCTTCTTCCAGGACGAGTTCAGCTGCTCCATCAAAACAGGGCTGCTCCAGGCAGAGCCCCACATCCCCTCGCTCATCCCGTGCAAGCTGGTCTTCTTCTCCGTCTTCCAGCTCATCAGCTTCTCGGTCGGCGGCGTCTACGTCCTCCTCGTCCCCGTCGTCATCTACAACGCCCTGCAGCTCTGCCAGTGGGACAAGGGGCTCCTCTCCGTCTACGAGATGCTCCCCGCCTTCGACCTCCTCAGCCGAAAGATGCTCACCTGCCCCGTCAACGACCTCAACGTCATCCTCCTCTTCCTCCGGGCCAACATCTCCGAGCTGACCTCCTTTGGCCGCCTCAACGCCGTCAGCGCCCTGAAGGAAGCCACCGCCAACAAGGACGACATCGACACCGTCGTTGACTTCATGACGCTGCTGGCCGGGCTGGAGGCCACCAAACCCAAACACCACGCGTGCGGCCCCGAGGCCGGCGGCAACGTGGCCCTCGCCAACGGCAGGGCTCCAGGTGGGCTTTTTGGGTAGAGAACGACGGTTTTCGCTCTCCTTTTGCCTCCTCCACAGCCAGATCCCACCCGGGATCTGTCCGCTGTGGCCCGAAATCCTTTGCCAAGACCTTAAGGTTTTTTGGGGAGAATTTGGGGGGCTGCTGGGGGTTGCTGGCTCTGTTTACAGCTGGGGATGGGTTTTGGCAGCTGGGATGTGATGCTATGGTGAGCAGGAGTTGCTATAGGAACGGGAAGCGGCTGAAACCCAAGCTCTGGGCAAACGGGAGGGGGGTCCCCGTTTTTGGCAGATGGAGCAGCACGGCCCATTGGGAGCTTTAAATCCTGGGGGAATGATGCCAGGGGCTGCACATGGGTCTGTGAGGTCAAACCGCATCCCCTGGGGCCTGTACGCACCCTCCCCAGCCACCCTCTGGGTTTTGGGGAGCTGAGGGCACCTCCTTTGCAGTCTCATGGGGGGGTCCCCCAACCTGGCAGGCCCCTGGGGATGCCCAGGGCTCCTTTCCTGCCCCAGATGCAGCCCTTGGGCTCTGGTTTTTAAAAAAAACAACCCAAAAACCACCCAGCTTGAGCTGTATTTAGCATCCTCGTTGGCATGGCAACCACGGGGCTAGCACAGCCGCCTCTCGGGCTAGTTGGGCTCGTTGCACGCTGGTGGAGAAAGCCCAGATCCCAATTTGCCATCGCTTCATTGATTAACTTCTTCCTTTTCTCCTCTTTGCCTAGAAACGAAGCCTGGAGCAGAAGCGATGGGAAAACCCTCCCGGGACTCGCTGGGCTCTGCCTGACCCTGGGAGCAGGGAGCAGGGGGTGGCTGGGACCCAGTTTGGTCCAGTCTGAGCCAGTTCCTCGTTGCTAGCATTTCTCACGTGCATTAAACCCTGTTTTTGATACAGCCCGTGCAGTGGTGTCTGGAACGTGACAGCGGCCGGGCTGAGCTCCCCTCCCCTCTTCTTGCCTTTGGGGTTCCCCTTCCTACACCTGGGGTCTTTTTCCAGCAAAAAAAGGGTAAAATAATCAATTGAGTTTTGCACAGAGACTCTCCCAGGTGCCTTGTTCTGGTGCCACATCGTGCTGTTTCCACCCAAATTTTAGGGCAGGAAGGAGAGAAGGGAGGACCAAGCTCCTCTGAAGGGGGAAAAAAAAAGATCTGAGAACAAACTGAGCTGTTTTAGAAACTATTTATTAACGCGGGGAGGTGGGAGGCGCTCGCTGCCGCTGCAGAGCCACACGCGGCTCCGCGTCCCACCCCTCGTGGCGTTTGCTTGTGGGTTTTTTTTGGCAGAGCTCCCTTCTCCACCCCTGCTCCCAGGGCTGTGCCCCGAGAGGTTGGGGTGTCCCTGGGGGAGCTCTGCGGGTAGGGGGAGCTTTGGGGTTGTTTTTTTTTTAGTATCATTCTTCCTAAATTTCATTTTAAATTGGCCTTATTATTATTTAATTCCCCCCGCAGCCTTGACTTCAAAGAGGAGCTGGG